GAATCCAAGTCGGACGACTGGGGAGAGTAGGGTATAGCATCGTCGGGGGTGGTCGAGGATGAACTGTATCGTCTCTCGAGTCTGGGAGTTCTTCGGCACCATCAATGATGTAAGCCAGATGATACAGCGTAAGAAACGGGGTAGCAGGTGTTTCCCGCAAACGCCAGGAAGGTCATGACTAGCAAAGGCCATGTGGCATCCTTGAAAGATGCCATGGAATCAGGCGTTAGAGCAAAGCCGAGGTTATTGCTCATGGTTTGCGCTGAATAAAACGCCCTGAGTTCATGGTCAGTGGAAGAGCAGAAATATCAGAAGACTGATAACATACCACCAAGTTGCGCCAACCCCGGACTCTGCGAGTACGTCCAGATATTTAGATGGTGCATTATGGATCCAAGGAAGCAAGCAGATGGCGCCAAAGAAATGAAGCCCGAAGAAATACCCTGTCTAAAGTGTCAGAGTGTTGAGGTCATCCCAGGTTGCTGATCTGTCCTAGTCATGCGAACAGCCGCCAAGGGTATTTCGACATACCGAACACGAATTTGAGAAGCAGCTTTAAAGCGCGATATTCGATGCCGCCAAGTGTCTCGCGATCGGCCTCTGTCAAGTTGTGAAAGTTGGAATTTCGACCGACAGTTGCATGTCGGGAAAGATTAGGCAGATCGAGCTTATTGTTTGCACTGACTCTCGACTTCGAAGTGGTCCGTCTCCGAGGCGCCGGACGAACTTTTCCGAGGATGAACGCTGACGTCGCCGCCTTTTCGATGGATGTTGCCGCGCTCAGGATCGTGCCTTCAGCATGAAACGAGCTCCTCCGCGACCTGCCGCTGCGAAATTCTGGCAAAGGTTTGATAGCATCTGGGTCCTCTATATCTCACATGTCAGTTGAAACACACTCGATGAAATCTGTCGTCGGATATGCCTTACCTTCAGTGTAGCTGCGGCGGAGGCCAGGCTCGATTTCAGTGATGGGTGCTCCTGCAGGATGATCGTGAGTACAAGACGGGTCACAGAGTCGAAAGGCTCGACGCACCTCTGTCGGACTCTCGTGGATTCGGAATCCTTAGAACTTGCTTTTCGGATCTCGAGTATCCACTAGCAATGGCCTTGTCATCAAATGTAATCGTAGTGGTTCTTTGTGGAGCAGAGAAGGGCGGGCTTGGTGCTGGAGCAAGAGCAGGTGCTGGTTCGTCAATGAAAGCCGTCTCCTGGCTTTCTCTCCTCGTCGCAGGTCGCGCCTCTTCCTCATCATTCCTGGTCACTTCGCGAGCAATTCCTTTCGTTTGTTAACACCTTCACCATGCACTCGCTGGGGAAGGACAGGTTAATCGAGACAATACATACCAGCCTGCCTCAGTCGTTGACGGAACCAGAAAAGTCTCACTGGAACAACTATAGCATTGAGAAACATCATGTTTGTGATGATCGGAACAACGTAGAGGTAGACCTGCTGATAAGTCTTAAGATCTTTGACGTCAACCCTGTTTGCAGTGGTCAGCTCGCGGTCTCATTCAGAGACGAAGGAATCCCACGCACGGGTTGAGGCCCGATTCGGTCGAAGCACTGCATCCGAAAAGCAAGGCATCTTCGGCCGTCAGGTTGCCGTACGTGTACAGCACCGGAAAGGCTGACAGGCTACAGAGTAGGATCCAGGCATCTGCATGACGAATGAGCTCATACCACGACAAAGAGTCTTCTTCAGCGCAGCCAGTCTCCTCTCTACCTACAGTGTATTCTGATGAAGTTAAATCGGGGTTTCCACATGCCGGGCTTCAGGCTCGGCGACGGGCTAAAGTGCGGAAGAGAATAAGAAGGCGCGTGGGCGGTTATCCTTCGGGGCCGAGACACGGAAGAGCGGGTGAACGTAGAGCGGACTTGCGCAAGTCTTGTCCGCGAAGATGAGGAAACAGATAGATACCGACCGGCAACAAAATGCCGTAGATTCTGCGACGAGACGAAAGAGGCTGAAAAGCACCAAGCACAATTTAGGACGACACGAGCAACAAGACAAGCTTTTGGTGCGGGGGTGCTGCCTTTGAATACCGAGGCCCCTGTCCGAGTACCCTGCCGTGTGGGAACCACTACAACGACCACATCTCGTGGGGGGTCCAGGGGAGGGGGGCGACAAATGGAGGTGTGAGGGTGAAAGAAGGAAATTCATCGAGGCTCAGCCCCCGAGCGACTCCAAGCCTGGCCTAGACGGCCCATGATGGGATGTGAGCGCCAAACCACATGCGCCGCACATGCGGGAAATCATTCGGCTCAGAAAAGGACCAATAACAAACACTCGGGACACAGTCCCCCTCCCTAAAAGTCATGGTGCTGGCAACCAAACACAAGCGTCAATCTAGCTGGATCACCAAGTCAGGCGCCCGGTGCTGTGGCAATCAATGGTGGGTGCTCCAGCGATCATCCATCTTCCGAACCCCGATATTCTTGATTATCCCTCACCGAGTTTGCCGTTGACATATCACAAAACGCGACTTCGTTACGGGGAATCAGAGCAATGTCCCCAACCGCCCAAAACGGCAAGTCTTGGCGTGCGCCCGCCAGATGACCCATATATGATACTGGAACCGGCTTAGTCCCCGGCAACAAGTGCATGTTGCGTCCAAACCGCAAAGGGGGCTGTGTAGACCTCATGTCGGGGACGAATCCTCCTTGCCTGCCCGACAGATGACCGGGTGAAGCCATCAGCAGGGCGCAGGCCCTTTCCTGGTTCTCGTCAAGTCGCAGAAGCCCTGATGGCTGACTACACACTGACGTATCGGTGATTTGCTTCACGAAGTTTGGTTTCATCACGATTCAATCCGTCGGAGGCAGATGCGCCATGGCTCTCGATTCCACGTTCTCATTCACTGGGACAACTTTTGACCTCGCAGTAACAGGCCTCGGGGGCTGGCTACTTGTTTTTGGCCCCTTCTCGTCGTTTTTCAAAGACCGGCTGTACCTTTCCGTCGCCTGTGAGTCGTATTCAACGCAATTTGCCTCACGATGACGATGGTATTTGACAGCAACCTGATTTCTTGACAGGCTTGTCTTTTCTCGCTGGTCTCGTTTTTGCCAGATCCACAGGTCTTGTCGAGCCCGTGCATTTCACAGAACACGGGAACATCGACGAGGTTGCCGCGACGACGCTGGACCTCAGTCGTATTGTGTTGGGCGTGCAATTACTGTTTGCCGGCGTGTCTCTGCCGCGACGATTTCTACGCACAGAATGGAAACCCCTCTCATTGCTCCTTGGACCTGGCATGTCGGCCATGTGGGGTTGCAGCACTGCCGTCATCTGGCTACTGGTACCAGGCCTGAGTCTCATTCATGCCATGACCATCGCCGCATGCATCACGCCAACAGACCCCATCCTGTCGGCTACCGTCCTCGAGGGCCGTTTCGCAGACCAGAACGTGTCGCGCAGTCTTCGCGATCTCATCATTGCCGAGTCGGGCGCCAATGACGGCCTCGGCTATCTTTTCCTGTTCTTCGCCTTGGACATTGTCAAGTACTACCCAGGCAAGATCGCTGGCGCGTCTCTCGGCGAAGGCCAGCTTGGCGAGGCCTTGGGTTCCTTTTTCGGCAACACTTGTCTTTACGTCGTCGGTACGAGCATTCTCTACGGGTGGGTTGTCGGATATGCCGCCAAACTTATGCTCCAGTGGGCAAACAGCAAAGGACACATCGACCGAGAGAGCTTCGTCACCTACTCGGCAGCACTGGCACTCTTCATCCTCGGGACCTGCGGCATGGCTGGCGTTGATGATGTCCTGGCGTGTTTTGTCGCTGGCAACGCCCTCACCTGGGATGATTGGTTCCGCCTTGAGACGGTCGAGGACTCATTCCAGCATGCCATGGACACACTGCTCAATACAGTCATTTTCATGTGGATCGGAGCTAGATGTCCCTGGGAGTCGTTTTGGGCGTCGGACATACTTCCCTTCTGGCGCCTAGTTGCCCTCGGGGTTGGAATTCTCATCTTTCGTCGGCTCCCTGTCATTTTAGCATCCTATCGACACATTCACCAGATCGAGGACTTGCGGCAGGCTCTTTTCGTGGGATACTTCGGCCCCATCGGCATCTCGGCCATCTTCTACCTCTGTGTTGGTCTAGAGTTTCTTAGGGGTCTTGAGACTGAAACCGGAGCGCACGGCGAGCTCAGACGCTTGAAAGAGCTCATGGTGACTGTTGTCTGGTTCCTGGTCGCGTTCAGTGTGGTAAGTCTACCCAGTGCGTCTTTGGGGTTGTCCGTATTATGCTAACGCAAACTACTTCGTCAGATGATCCATGGATTGAGTGTTCCCGGTGCGATCTTCGGGATGCGACTGAAGCGATTCTTGTTCTCCCTCAGTGCATCTTCGTTTCAGGGTTCGATCACATTGTAGAACATTCGGGTGGACCAATGTCGAGAATCGAGCGGCCAGAAGCCTATAACCATGTGTTGAAAAGACCCTCGCCCGAGTCATCAACATGATACTGTTCATTATTTTGCGAGGCCCTCCGATGACAAGGCCTCAGAAGTTGATGATGTCGTTCCAACCTACGCAAGCATACATCCTGGCGCGGTGCCTTCGCCTTGACAAATGGGGTTCAGTTTAATCTGCACATTGTCGAACGCGTGTTCTGACATCTCAATCAGGTATGAGTTGACAGCTGCATGAGAGCTGCAACTCAGCCTCTCAGGAGCCAAGACACAACAGATGCCCAGCTTGTACATCGCTCCTGTTAATCAGAAATCTATGCGGCCTCGGTGTGTGTTGCCAGGATGAGTCCTCAATGCTCAATGCTCATCGCTCGAATCTAAGAAGATGTCGGTATCTCTGAAAAAGATAAATGAAGTGACAACGACAGTAAGAGTAAATTGGTTGTCCATCATTGGTCATAGTGGCCCGTCTTGATTTTCGTGGAGCACATGTTGTTTTGGCTTGCCTCCCAATGAGGGTGGCATGGTCCAGCTTGGTGTGTCCTGGGTCGGTCGATTGGTTGATCATCAGACCAAACGTATGCCGTGAAGCCTGCATCTGAATCAAGGACCATATTGTTCACCCTTTCACTGCGAATCCTGCTAATGTGTGATGAATATGCCTCAATGGTGAACGGGCTGGTAGGTTGCGTTGTCATGACTGATGTCGGCTTTGCCTCTTATCCACTTTGATACCCTTTCAGCCCAGTCGCGGGATGCTACCACCACACCCAACACAAGCAATATGGGTCACGAATGGCTACAATCCAAGCACATACGGCCATACCTACTGGAAAGCTCGGGATCCCGTCCGCTCTCCCACTCGATAAACCAGTAAGGGCTGGATTAGTAGTCGGGTGGGTGACCACCGGCGAATCCCCGGTGTTGTATGTTTTTGCGTTTTTATCGAAAAGCCTTGCCCTTTTGCAGCTGCCAGAGCGTCATGGCAGACTTATGCTGGCAGACTGCAGCTCAGTCCCCGCGACTTCAAAGGCTACTCTGTCCGGCAAAGCTTCACTCCGCATGCTCGACGGAAACTCAAACGCTTCTAAGGCTGCCGTCATACCCTTGACTATCATAAAGTCTGTTCAGAACATTTCCATGGTCGCTCCATGGCCGATTTAAGATGCTCCTCGAATAGAGTACCTTTGGGACAAAATTGAACATGTTTCACTTCTATTGTTTGACAGCACACCCAGCTCAGCTTGTACCCACTCCAACGAGGTCAACCAGTTGTCTCCAAAGGCCACACGACTTATTATCTACTTGAGCAACACGAAAGCTACCCGAATCACAATGAAACGAACAAGGCCGGGATCTTGCTCGATGGGTGGAGGGAATTGTTGGGGGTATTTGTACAGATGTCTAGTTGCAAGCTATACGGCTCATCGAGGTGAGCATTGGAGCTTAGATGTTGCTCGCCTGAAAGAAGTCAAATCATGAAGCAAAACCGTTCTTTCTCGTGTCACTATGCACTCGACCACATACTTCGACAGTGGGGCCTCCAGTCTGGTGCCCACCAACGACAAGTGCAAGACGCTGCCGAGTTACATGTAGGCCAGTGCCCGGATATTGCAAATGATAAGCGGCGGCAACCTTAATTATCGATCTGACTTTAGGCGACGCAGCCCAAGTTCGATTTGCATTCCTTGAAGCGTCCCCGGCGACCCCTGCAGCAGCAAGTTCATCCAGGACTGCGAGTCACGGGACCTGTCGCAGTACGGCATATGGTGTGATGACTACAAAAAGCCTCCGACATGCCAGCACGACGCTCTCTATGGAGAAAAGTGCCATGACGACCTCGAGTGCTGCTAGGGGTACTGCTCGGCCGGTGCCTGTGTACCATCCAGCTCACAAGGACGGTGTCTACGACCAGAGACCTGTCAGTTTGGGGCATGACTGACAACCAGCCATGCAGGACTGACCATATTGAGGAGCGGTGCTTTAAAAGTGCGAGCGCCGACGGCCAGCTGTGTCCAGACAGCACATATGCGAGGCATCATAAATGCACGCTTGGGTGGCAGGTAAACAAGTACTACGGGTAAGATCCAAAGACGATTGGTCGTGCGAAGGGCAGCGAATGTCTACTTGGTCGGCAATGCTGCCCAGGACGAGGCAGCGTCTCGAGCGGAAGATGCAAGAACCAACGGCGAGCGGGTCTAAGTTCCAATAGGTTCCCTGCCCTGCGCCTGTGTTACATGGCGCAGTCAAAGTTACGGCTTGACAGCTCCGGGAGCCGAGAGACGGAAAAGTCCAAGAGCCCGGGCACGCCACCCAGAAGGGGTCCCGAGTCCGAAGGTTTGTTATACAATGCCGGTAGATAAAGTACAGGACCGCCCAAAAAGCCGCCGTCTTGGCTCCCAACGACGTGGAGCCGGTACTGCAAGTCCAAGCTCAATCATCCGTCAGTCATGCGCCCAAACCCACTTACGGCCCCTCTTTACAACAGCTTAATGGGCGACAAATCCATTCGTCATCCGCAGATGGACCCAGGCTTGGATATAGTGCAGTTCGGATGTCCGCGGCGAATGCATGGCTGACGGGTTGACGCCACTGCATCGACTGCAACCTTGTCCTAGTCGACCACTCTTGATTCACTTTGGATCGCGACTCGTTGGCTGCAGTGACCCCCGAGGCTTTTCCCCCCACCTTGGACAGCCGCCGAGCGTACACGGGACTTACACGGCCGATTGCGCGTGGCCTGACATCATCCCACGCTAATCAGATTGGGGATATGCGCAAGAGAGGTTGATGGAGTCAACCCCACTGACGATGGAGGCGTCACTCTGCAGCGTGCTGCTGACGGAGCAAGGGGGTCCCAGGCCAGCCGGCTGATTTGGCGAGCTCCGTGGACGGAGCCATTTTCGTTTTCTTATGAGAGCAAGGTGATATGAGACGAACGAGCGGTGGATGATGAGAAGATCTGACTATAAAATGGGACCATGTCGCTGTCGTGCGATCGAGGACGAACCCGTCTCCAGGCCCGTTCTGCTTGCTTCACGAGGATCAGCTCTAAGTAGATCAGCCGCCAAGCCAGGCCAAATCCCAGGTCACTTCTCACCGCCAGCTGAATGATGGCTCGCCTTCTCTCCCTCTTGGCCCTCGTCAACACGGCGATCGGCTCTTCTATCCTGTTCGAAGGTGGTACCATCATCTCGTGGGATGACGCCTCCTCCTCCACAACCATTACTCGCAATGCCTCCCTCCTGATCACCAACGACACAATCACGGGCATCTACGCCGCCGGCGAGTCTGTTCCTCGGCCATCGGGTAACGACACCCAAATCATTGACGCCACGGACAAGATCCTGACGCCAGGCTTCATCGACACGCACCGTCACGGCTGGCAGACAGCCTACCGAACCCTCGGCTCCAACACCAGCCTGTGGGAATACTTTGGCCGTTACGGCGAGTATGCCGCGGCCGGTCGCTACACAGCTGACGACGTCTACCTGAGCCAGCTGACCGGTTTGTACGAGGCCATCAATGCCGGCGTGACAACGACGCTCGATCACGCGTCGCACACGTGGTCGAACGAGACGGCCGAGGCGGGCCTGCGCGCCAGCGTCGACAGCGGTGCGCGTGTCTTCTGGGCGTACGCCATCCGTGACATCACCAACTTTACCATTGCCGAGCAGATCAGTAACTTCAGGGACATGGCCAGGGCGGCCATCTACGAGGGCACGCCGACGAGCCTGGGCATCGCCCATGACACGTTCAGCAGCGATGCCGAAGGCGCAGTGGCCGTCGTGGCCTTGGCCAAGTACGTTCTTGATTGTATTTTCGGAGGATGCGACGTCGTGCTTTGCTGACATGCATGAACAGGGAGCTCAACGTCTCCGTCATCACCACCCACCTCCTCGAGGGTCCCTGGGGCTGTAAGTCCAATGCGCCGAACCCCTTGCCCCCCCCTTTCAATCTATTGCCCTGCCCCCTCTCGAGACCGAAGCAGCGCTGACATGCGTCATTCTCTTGTTCCCAGTCTCCAACTCGCCCGAGCTGCTGCAGTCGCTCGACATCCTCAACACATCCATCCCCGTCGTCTTCTCGCACGCCTCGTTCCTCGGCTTCACCGCGCACGAGCTGCTCAAGGCGACGGACCAGCACATCTCCATCACGCCCGAGTCGGAGCTACACTACGGCCACCTGCACCCGACGTCGCACCTGCTCCTCGACCAGGCGTCGCTGGGCGTCGACACGCACTTCACCTTCAGCACCGACATCCTGACACAGGCGCGGCTGTGGCTGCAGCGGGTGCGCGCCCTCTTCTACGCGCAGGGCCTTGACGCCTGGAAGATCCCCGTCAACAACCCCATGTCGGCGGGCCAGGCCTTTATGCTGGCGACGGCGGGCGGCGCGCGCGCGCTGCGCCGGCGCGACCTCGGCGTGCTCGCGGCCGGCGCCAAGGCCGACGTTGTGCTCTGGACGGCGCCGGCCCGGCCCTGCTGGCTGGGACGATCCCGTCGCGGCTGTCATGCTGCACGCGAGCGTCGCCGACATTGACACGTCGTCGTCGACGGGTGTCGTCAAGAAGCGCGCCGGCCGTCTCGTCGTCGACGGGTACGACGGCCTCAAAGACGCGCTTCCTCGCCAGCGCCCGCCGCATCCAGCGCGTCCTCAAGGAGACGCCGCTGCCGGCGCCCACCGGCGTCTTCATGTCCGGCGCCGAGCTGACGCGCGTGCAGGAGGCCGACGTCGTGCCCGGCAACGGTACGGGGTACTAGGAGTACGCCTGTTGTTGTTCACCATTGCCCAGCCTCGACCATCCATCATCGTTTTTGATAGCTTGTTGGCAGATTCTTAGCTAGACATGGCGGTTGCGCTAAGAATAGTGCTATTACTACCCGAGTTTAAACTATCCGTCGTTAGTGTGAACACGATCAGTAATCGGCTTAGCTGCTTAAAAGCAGCTGTAGCGTGTCATATTTTAAAGAGAACAGCAACTAGCGCCTATCACCTTGACCAGTCATCACTGGTATCAGATCAGACCCATACAAGAGCAACATCAAGTGGTCATCTTGCAGACACATCACACATCGAATGATCATGTATCGCGTCAACGCATCAGATTGATGGATTGTCAATCCTAAGAGATGAAGTCTCACCAACAAAGCCTGCAGGCCAGAGAGCTTTGCTGTGCCTGGCCAAGAGGTCAACCCCGTTGTGTCTCCTGCAAGTCTCACTTGCTCGAGAGCCCGGGCCCGCCCGGTCATCGTGATCCGAGGGGAAACACTCAAGTTCATCACCCGTTTCAAGCCAAACCAAGATATTCCTCCAAAAAGGGCGTACCAAACGCAACGCGGGAACACGGGGCGAATCTGATTCGCCCATTCTTGAAGATCATTGATGGTTCATCATGCGGCGTATGAGGCGCGAGATAGACCTGTCGGAACGTGTGGCGGATGATGGCACGGAAGATATGTTCTGCGCTGAGAAAAGACAAGACAAAAAAAAAACGGGAGTGAAAAGCGCAACCGGAACCCTGCGGTGGTATACGTGTGCAAGAATGGGCCATGGCGCAAAGCGACAGTCGTGAATAAACAAAAAGCTGGTGGCCCCCTCTGCCAACGATGCATTCCTTAACCATCTGGTTGAATGCCACAAGTGCGGTCTGCAGGTGCAAATCCATAATCAACATGGGACGTTTCACACGCGGTTCAACCTCTACTAGCGGTGGCGGTGAGAGAGGCCGCGGGCGTGCCCGTGCACGTGGCGCCTAAGACGAGCAGCAGGAGCTGGCACCGGCGTCGCCTCGGCTGTGACCGTAACAGTCGTAGTCTCATCGAGGTATTCCGTCACGAAGACGGTTTCCTCCTCCCAGTAAATGATCGAGACCACGTTACCGATGGTCACCGTCTGGGTGGAGTAGTAGGATTTGTTCTCGACCAGAACAGGAGGCTTTACCTCTGGTGTGATGACTGGCGGGGCGGGTTCCGAAGACGACGAAGAAGACGGCGCCACAGCAGCAGCAGCGAAGAGGCCACCACCGCTGCTCTCGGATGCGGGGACCACAGCCGATGAAGATGGAACCTCAGGCTCGGGGATCGAGGGCTCGGGCACAGGGGCGGGCGAAGCAACGACGGGGGCAGCCTGCTGCGTAGACTGAGCCGGGTAGACATAAGCCGTCGAGCCGGTGACAGGCTTGGGGGCCAGGCTGGGAACGAAGGTGGGCTCCTGAGGAACGTCACCGCCGTATTCCTCGTGGCCATCGCCAAAGGTGATGGGTACGCCGCCAGGGAGAGACTTCAATGGACCCTGGCAGTCCTCGCTCGCAAGAATCTGGGGGACGTTCATCTTGCACTCGCGAGCCTTCTGCTCAGTGACAATCTCGAACAGCGGGCAGTCAAGGATGTTGCCAGAGTCGCTGGTGCAAGTATCGATGACCTGCTGGAGAAAGCCCTCGTCCCAGCCCATCATGAAGTCACCGTGGTACCCGAAGCCTATTCATGGTCGTCAGCAAAGTCTCTTACGAAGATAAAGTGGCAAATCTTACCCTCGGCATCACCGTTGGACATGACAAACCTGCCGTTGCGGCCCTCGAGAGGCTTGGTGTTCCAAACCACCTCGAAGAGCATGTTGGGCAGGTGCTTGTCGAAACCCTCAGGACAATTTCCGTTGTTGAGCTCATCAGGATAAGCGACATGGGAGCGGTGGTCCTCCGAGTCAAGGTCAACACCGTTCCAGCACGAGGGGAAGTTCATCTCAGTACGGATACCATTAGGACAGTTGGCCTGGATGAACTGTTGCGTGGGCAGGAAGTGGCGGTAGAGAGTAGGCTCGGCTTGTCCGGCGTAGTTGAGGCAGTTGAAGCCCATCGACCGCTCACGGAGCGACTGCTGGGTCTTGAGGCCGAGAGCATCCCACTCGTTCGCGGGGGGGTCAGGTTGCGTCAGGTTCCAGGCTGTCCAGGAGCGTTGTTTGGTATCCCCCGCCACCATGCGGAAACCCGCAGGGAACGCAACAAGGTTGGGCAGGTGGTATTGGTAGTATCTGTCAGCTACGTCAGTGACGTGTTCCTAGATGTGGCACAGCGGGTATCTGTAGCAAGGATTTGGCCTCGCGTTGGGATAACATGAGATTCCTACTGCCAGCAGAGGATCGCATTACTTACGCAAGCATACCACCAACCTGCTCGACGAGCTCAAACTCGCCGGTGTCGGTATCTTGGAAGTACATCGAAGGGTGCCAGTACGCAGACTTGTCCTGGAGGACACGGCATGAGGTGCAGTCGCCGTCACGGAGGTCATCGTACGTAGCGTTCATGCTGAAGCCTGCGTTGTGGGTTAGATGGGACGAACGCAAGAGAGTTGGAAATGTCAAGACTCACCAGACGAGCCGTGAATCGAATGGAGATGGAGCGAGGGCTCTCCGGGTGAGATCATAGGGTCAATCCGGGCAAGGCCAACGCGACCTTGACATTCCATGCGAAAAAAGGCGTCGACGCCCGCAGCCATGAAAATGGCCGTCGGGCCAACACTGAGAAACTTCATTTTTTGGTGCTTAAAAGCTATGTTAGGCCCTTAAGACTGCTGTAGAAGGCTGTCGTGGGTGAAGCCGACAGTCGAGACGGGGTCGTCCTGTGCTTGAAAGCAATGGAAATGATCTGAATGCAGATCAAAAGGAAAAAAAAACGAGTCGGAAGTGAACACGAGGCTTCTTGAGACAAGTCGGCAGTGATTGATAGCGATGCAGTTGTGCGTGTGTTCTGCAACCCCTTTTGCGAAGGCTCTACTTTGGTGATCAATAGTTGTCTGAGGCCGGCCCCACTATTGATATCTCGACAAGCTGGCGGATATTGCCCTCGGGTTGCAGACAGACGAAGAGCCTGAACAATTGCGCCGTGTCAAGGTGCTGCCGTCGCGCGCGCAACTATCTGGAGTTGGGCAAGGTCGCGTGATGGTGCCTTTGGATGTCAGGCACTAGGCAGATGGTAATGCGGTCTAGCACGACGTTTGATATCCTGAAGGCGATAAACTCGATGGTTTTGGTCTACGGACTCTTTCTGATAAGCCGGGTGGACTTTGATCTGTGCGCGGGCGACTGGATAGAATGCTGAGTGGAAAATGTTGTCACGGGCTGTGTTGCGATGGTCGATATGGCACTGTGAGATTTTTGAGTCTCGACAGAGTGAATGGTAGGAGCTCGCGTTCCCGGCAGAGAAACAAAAAGTCGCGATGATAGAGGTGATCAAAAAAAACCAGCAGAGGGCAGTCGGTCGCGTATAATTTGCTGCTTCTGAGTATGGGGCGAAACGAATGCGGTCAACACGAAGGGTATCGCAAGAGGGTCGAAGAAGGTCGGAGGAGGGCGTGAATGTAAAGAGGCGAATGTAAGGAGGAGAGGCGAAGCGGACAGGCGTCAACAAGGTCGAACGATGTCAAAGTAGAAAACGAAGGCCGAAGAGGGATCCCAAAGGAGTGTCGAGGTGGGTGAGAAGGAGCGTCAAGTACGACAACCTGGGGGATGCCGCACAAAGGGAGTGATTCCCAGGAATGAGAGAGAGACAACCAAGCCGAAGCTGAAGTGAATGTGAGGAATACAAATGGGATCCAGAGAAGTGGAAGGCTGGGGTGCAGAAGAGAGTGACGAAAGGTGGGTTTGGCGCAGACGGAGGAGGGTAGAAGAATGAACGGCGGGGGTGGGTGGTTAGGAGCGTAAAGCAGAAAGTGAATGTGATGGTGGTGCTGTTCACCGGAGGTGGAAAGAGGAGGGGGGGTCCGGCAGAGAGTGTGCCGCAGT